CTCACATCTGTTTGTGTGGTCTCCCGTAGGTCCAGATGTGGTTCAATAACGAGTCCCTGCCCGATCACATGACCATGAAACGGTTATGGCTCTCACACTGGTTTGGCAAGGTAAGAGCGGCCACTGTGGGCCGCCCTGCCAGCGAATGTCACACATTCCTTCACACGCAGTCTCTTTGTACTCTAATTCAGCCGGAAAATCTGGAGAATATTCACCCAACACGGGAAATGTGGAATTGTAAATTCTAGCTCCGTTGTAAGAGGGAAAAAAATCAATAAAAAAGCTCCTTGTGCTTTATTGTCATTTCCAGTTTCACGTTATTTTAAAGAACTAACAGGAGACACATTCTCTCTTCTAATATCTAATATTTGATCTGATATTTTAGGGTTGTTTTATGAGGAAAAATAGAAAAAATAAGCTGCTTTTGCTTTATTGTCATTTCCAGTTTCACATTCTTTTAAAGAACTAACACAGGAGACACATCCTCTCTTCTAATATTTGATCTAATGTTTTAGGGTTAGGGGTGTTTTAGGAGGGAAAAAAAAGAAAAAATAAGCTCCTTGTGCTTTATTGTAATTTATAGTTTCACGTTTTTTTAAAGAACTAACCCAGGAGACACGTTCTCTCTTCTAATGTCTAAAATTTGATCTAATATTTTAGGGTTAAGGATGTTTTAGGAAGGAAAAAAAAAACTCCTTGTGCTTTATTGTCATTTCCAGTTTCACGTTGTTTTAAAGAACTAACACAGGAGACACGTTCTCTCTTCTAATATCTGATATTTGATCTAATATCTGATATTTGATCTAATATTTGACTTATCTTTCCCCCCACAGGCGCAGCCACTAGTTCTTCACTACACCATCAAGGACAAAAGGAGCAGATAGGACTTGTTTTCAGTTTGAAGGAACGCTGTACATATTTTGTACAATACATATTCTATTTTAATAGTGTTTGTGTACATAAACTTATTTTCCTTGTTTTGTATTTTTGAAAATAAATTTTAAATGGAAACATTTCTACCATTCACGTTGTGTTTTCATCAACCAAAGAAAAAGCTGGAGTCCATTTTGTCCCACTTCTGTTAAGATTTCAGCCGTTTTAGATCAGAATTTCAAACTAAAAACTGAAAGTTTTCCTTAAAAAGGAAAAAAGACCAGTGAAACCACAGCAGCTCTACAGAAACGTCTCCTCACTCATCAGGAAATCGTGTAAGTAGAAGAGCTTCTCTCCTCTTTATGACACACAGCAGGTTTTTTATTTGGATTTACCTGTTTTTTCCCAAAGTTGTCCTTCTGGTTTGTCAGATTTTTGGGGACCTGCCTCTAAACCTTCCTGTTTTAAAGTAGGATGAGAAATTCTGCTGTGCGGATTTGAATTAAATGTCCGTCTCTCACTGCCTTGGAAGTTAGTGGAAGCACCTTAAATGTTGAAAAGTTGTTAATGTTATCTCAAGAAATCCTACTTTCAGGCACAAAAAGAATCGAGTTTCATTATCGGACCCATGTGCTTAAAACCGAACCTACAGGGAACCTTTCAGTATCTTTTTTTCTCATATTTAGGATAGAAAAGATAGTTTACTGGCAGCTTGTCCGAGGATTTTAGACACTTTTTCGGCCAAAATATCCGTTTAAAAGCGTCTTCCTGAGTCCAGGAGCTCCTTTTTAAACTGCCTTTTCAGTCTCAGAGCGATGGGTAAAGATGCCATTCCCCGGACGGCCGCTAGGTGGCAGGGTGGCGCTTCCAGGCCTCGATGTGAGGAATCCTCTCCAGAATGGACGGACCCCATAAGATCACAGGTTGATGGTGCTCCCAGCTCTTGTATCTTTTTCTGTCTCCTCTCCTGTTTCACACACCGTCAGTCTGAACATTTCAGCTGCATTTCACTGCTCAAACTTAAATATCTATCAATAATCTGTCTTTTTTATGAGCTTTTAATGTGCTAAACGTGTTCTTAAAGGTCTAGTTTATGTACCTTTTTAAAATACTCAGTAATCTGCCTTAGAAAATGCTCCAATTTATATCAAAACTGCTTTAGACAGCATCTGAATCCGATATTTCAGCTCTTTTTAATTCATTTTTTAAAAGTAAATATAAAATAAACAAACGGATGAGTTTTACTCTCTGGCTCCCCTCCTTAATCTGTTAGGTTATATGTATGGGAAGAGGAATTATTCAGTTTTATCTGTACGTTCTTGTAATTGCAGAACAAAGCTACACACAACAGTACACACACACACACACACAACGTGAGTTTTCTTACAATAACCCCCGGATTTGACCTTTAGGCCAAAATGAGTGTTTCAGCTTTCTGGGCCTCACCTTTTCTCCAAGCTTTGTTTTCCAGTAACCAGAAGTGTCTTAAATCATCTGAATAAATATAAACACATTTTTTATGCCTTTCGAAATATATATTTTGTTTTTGTTTTTATGGGAATAACCCAAAGAAATGGATACGCTATTGGGAAAGGTTGTTTAAAACTCAGCCAAATAAATTTGCTCAAAAAATTAAATCATGCCAACAATAAAAATGTTTTATCTATTTAAATAAAAAAATATATAGGAGTAACAAGATACAGTCCAGCTCTCCTAATCCAAAAATTCAAATATTTTCAAATTGGTTTATTTTCTCCCCCTAATAAATCATTAGGAACAGAAAGCCTCCTCATTCAAAGTCCTACTTGACTTTTCAACCTCGGTAATTCCAGCCGATTGCATCTTTTGTGTTTGCCAGCCTGTTTCTGCCCGTCTGAGAGCAGAAAAAGCTCCTAACTAGGCCTCCTTTCTTCAGTTTGGCTTCTATCTGTTTAACTTTCGACCAGACCTTCTTTATTATTATTATTTCTACCCAGAATCGTCTCCATGTGGCAGCTCTCACTGTTCACTATAAAAAAGGGCTTTTCTAACTGTCTGAACGTCATAAAAACCATTTAAGAAAAAAGATAACATCCAGTTTTAAGGTGGATTTTAAAAAAATGTGCACATCGAACTAAAAACGCATATGAACCCTATTGTCCCTTTTTTAAGTCATATAAAAAAACAACTTTCTTTTATGAAGAATTGTTAAAAAATTACTTAATTAATACTTGAATGCAGAGTCAGAGCAATGAAATATTTCTAAAAAATGAAATATATTTTTAAAAAATGTGCTCATCGAACTAAAAACTCATATGAACCCTATTGTCCCTTTTTTCAGTAATAAAAAACAACTTTCTTTTATGAAAAATTTGTAAAAAAAAAA